AGTTTTGCCTTTCAATTTCCTCACACTCATTGCTTGTCAAAAATCATGAAAATTGGAAGTCATTACGTAGGCTGCATTCAATTTGAGAAGCAATTTCATTATCAACATGTCGTCTTCAAGAAAACAATGTAACTAACTAGCTTCTGAAGACCCATTTTCCATTTTTAATTCCATTGAAGATTAACATTTTAGCATCCAGAAGTTTAGTATTTTTTTATTTTCAAATAATTGAAAACACAATTGAAACTCAATTGAAAGGGAAAATTTAAAGCAAGTTGCCCAGTCCTCAAAGACTATATAACTTACAGTTTAAACTCAAAACTGGCGAAACTTTTTGTTGGGAGGTGGTAGTTTACTGGTATGTTCTGACAACCAAGCTATCTTGAGTCCTTGGCTAACTCTCTAACTACTTTCAAACTAATTCGGTAATATAAGAACTTGCCTTAGGCTGGGTGAGAGGTCCGGCGAGAGTACCTCGTTAAGGTTGAGATGTAGATGATCTTTTTGCACGCTCCACTTTCTATATATTGCCTCAGACATAATGCAATTAGAGCTGTAGCAAACCGTATGTATGCGTTACTGAGTAACGGGTACAACCCCTGGACTCGAAGTACCGAATCGTTAGTCACATAATAATCTTGCTACTCGCATGTTGCGCATATGCATTAACATGAATCAATACAACACAACATATTGTACGGTGTGTGTATGTACGAACATGCGTGCATATGTACGAACGAACATTTTCTTACGCTGCAAGATTCGTTGCGATGATTCGTGTGAGGTACAACCCTGCAAATACTCCATGCATGCGTGTAAAGAGTACTCCCTAAGGATCAAGGAGTACTCGAAAATTAACCACAATTCATATAAAAAATATGGTCCAATCAACATTGCGATGTCCTAGGGCAGGACCATATACTCCATCCCTGCATTACATCAGAGTAGCACAAAACTACTCCAACATATTAACAATGGCATTGTTGCTATATTTTTTCGTTTGTACACGCTTTTGTTCTTCACTTCTCAAATGCTTTTTCGAAATTCATAAAAACCAAGCCAAAAATTAAAAATTACATGTTGCCTCTGATGGCATTAGAACCCGAACATGCTGGGAGCTAAGAACTAACAGCGAGCATCTCTACACGTTCAGCTACAGCCAGACATGCAAATGTGGATTCAAATGCTCAACTTCAATGACATTTCGTTAAAACACGAGCAGTGATCCGATAACAAACAATAAGCTGGCGCAGAGACACGAGTTGGTCCGATACAGCATGACAGAGGAACACTTTTGTAAGTACTCCAATTTACCACAAATAGACTACATGGTCCAACGATTTTTGCAGGGAAGTGCTTGTATCAAAAGTAACGAGTAAAGTAACTATATGAAATATACGGGTGTTGATTGGATTAGAAACGAATACATACGGGTATGCAAATTTTCGTTACTTTTACAGCTCTGAGGGCTCAATGGACGCAAGGTCGCATTGCACATCCTCTAACAAATATATGTAATCTAATCTGACCTAACCTAAGCTGTGTTCGAAATCAAACCTTGGGAGGCACACTTCCACAAAGGAAATGCGCAATCCTTCCACTTCTTCTATAACCCACATTGTAGCGCGTCTTTCATGATTTCAATGCGTAGAAAAGGCAGGTCAAGAAGCATCTAAAGAAACGCGGTTGGTGCCGTTCTCATCCACCTAAATATGATGCACACGTAAGCTTGTCGTTGTAGTTTGCTGAGCTTATGTTAGGATAATTAGTTTGAGTATTTTTTCGACAATTACTATTTTTCGCCAAATTCGAACTTAAAATGGAATTCAATACGCTTCATACTTGAGTTAACCCAATTCGAAACCGTCTCCAATTGCTTTTCATTGGGACATCTCCCTTCCATTCGCATCAATCGTGTCTCTTCACACCGAAGTTTCTCATGAAATAATGCCGCAAACCTCGTGGGCGATTTCAAGTGCCCTTGAGCATAATGGAAACCCATCCAATGCTGGATCTGCGCCGTTACGTTGGATTGACAGCAGAGTTGATTAAGAAGGAATTTAATTTGCATTTACTGAATGTATGTAAAGGGATTTTTAAGCATTGCTTTGGCAGTTGAAAATTGACAGGTTGCCTGAACGGAGGCCATGAATCGAAAGGGTGAACGGCGACACATGCTGGTGCCCTTTTTCTTTAATTTTGTTGTTTATTAACTGCGGGACACTAGCAAGTGGGGTTGAAATACACTCATTTAACATTAATTTTTTGTTCGCAACAAAAAACGTAGGCCACTTTAAATCATTGTATAGGCTTACAAGTATGGAAAGCGCCATTTTGTTTGTTTACATTTGAAAACAGCTGAGATCGCCTGATTTTCAATTCTCTCATTCTCCGCACAGAGTTACATTCAAGTTTCAGAAAAAACTTTAAAATGTAAATTGAGAAATATTTTAGAAAAATGTGTTTTTATTCATTTGAATTCAATAAAAAAGAAATTAAAAATGCGTGCCAAGTCTTGCATTTCCAATAATAACGATAAATGTGTATGTTCCAGGCAATAATTTAAAATATTTGTGAAACTTATCGTTTGTGCTAAAATACATCAATGTGTGTGAAATTCGTTGTCATTGCTTTTGTTTTGAACATCATATTCGTGCCTGCCGGTGGAAAAATTAGGTAAATTTGCATTTATTTTTAAGAAAACATATAATTTAATATATATTTCTTTCCAGAGCGACATACGGACAAGGAAGATGATCATCGTTTAAACAAATGGTTTATTTTCTTGTACAAGCAGCCGTGGCCCGAGCAGCGCAAATCGTGGCAGCGAATTATAAGTAATAAGGGAAATAATAGTGCGATAAGAAACTGGAGCTCGGGGAAAACTATAATTTACGTCTCTACGCAGCACGTACGCATGTGTGGGTGGATTTGCGATTGTGGCCTAAGCAGTGGCCCGAAAAACCTTACCAAACCTGTTTTTATGTTACGCTTACATCAACGTTATGCCACAATCACGTGCCGCCGCAGCTGCAGCTACTGGCAGAGGCCCACAGGCACTCGTAAAAATTGGCCACTATTTACTGGACACAAGGTAGCAGTAAAGATATTGGACCTCATGCATTAAATGTGAGTTTAAGCTCCAACTCGATTTTCAGTACAAATTCTTGAGCTTAAGCTCACCCCTTTAGTGCAAAAATTGAGTCTGACCTTAGACTCATTTTTTATGCATGAGGCCCATTAAATCGCATAAATTGGTTGAAATGGTTGGAAGTGGACCAACAACTTGCTGCCTTCTCGTCAATTTGGTTAAGTTGTGTTGACTAACTCCGGAGGCATTATGGATCTTGAGGAGGCCAGACGGTAACATTTGGGAGGCAAAATGCTAGGATTCTTGTTCTAAGCTGGGCACTGGGTATTCACACTTTTGTTAGTGTATTGAAGCTATTGCAGCTGGCAAGAGCAACATGTTTATATTATTTTTTACAAAAATAAAAAGATGAAAGCCACTTAAAGTAATGAGTAAATTTGCGTGGAAGAAAATAAAGAATGAAGAAATTTGTATTATGAATATCGAGGAAAATCGTTTGCATTAAAATTTCTATTCAAATTTTATTTGAATTATGACATCAACAGGGATGCTTTGAAACGTATCTTTTGAAGAGAAATTTTTATAATTCTTGTGATTATTGATATTTTCTAGAATTATTTCATATTAAAAAATATATTTAGACCACCTTGAAACGATTTTAATGAGTATTCATAGCTTCATAGCAGTTACATCAAAATGCATATTTGACAAGAAAGAGTACAAGATTGCCCCGTCATAGTGGCGATGACATTTCTGTACAAAAAGTAAACAAAGCCGAATTGCATGTTAAAAGAAAATATCAGACCAGCCAATTTTCTCAATAATAAATTTTTCGATAGTAAGCGTGTTTTAATTGCGCTGAATTCTAAAAATATATGAGTGACAATGACAATTAATAAGGAAAATGTGAAAAAGCGGTGATTTTTCTGTAAGTATAAGTGAATTTCAGTACATTTAAAGTTTCTGATACGTCGTTTACTTTTAGATCAGAATTATCAAAATCGACAAATTCAAAGTAGGGTGCCACCTTTGTTCGCTGCATCGTGCATATTGGGCAAATGACGTTTTTAAATGCATTTTACATACAAACATATGTACCAGTTCAAGATAAAAAAAGAAACCAAAATTAGTAATTTTTTTATGAATGTAGTTAAAAAAAGTTCACAGAGGAAATGCCGGTAATCAATCTATCGGCAATCACATAAAATCTATGTAGGGAAATTTAGATGTCAACAGAATAATAACTACAATAAAAAGCACCACAGAAGTGTGAGAAGCAGGCAATTTTTCAATCTGAGCAAAAAATTCTTTAAATGCTGTTGTAAAAAGGTCAATACATTTCTTATAAAATAGTTTGATTTTTGATGGGTGGTATAACTCAGTGAAACGGTTATTAAAGAAAATAAAATTTTTAAAAGTAATAAATAGGAAAAAAATGCACTAAAAATGTGAATTTAAATATTTTACCCAAATTCATAAAAAATTAAGAAATCGATTTTTTTTATAAAAATGTCACTGTACAGAGCTATTTAAATCTATTTTAATTTTTAATAAATAACGTCATTAGCATATACCGTTTTTATAAATGAATCTTGTAGCGTCGCGCTATATACATACATAGGTACATATATATATTTTGGCTGGCGAAATATGTACTTTTGCCAACTAATTAATAAAGCGTATGATTCAATTTAACCACATTAAAAAAGTATTTAAATATTTTATGGCGCAACACAGCAACACTTTTTGTTTCACGAAACCCTTGAATACGAGCCTGTCAAACACTGCCGCCATCATGCTTTTCAGTTTGGCAGGCACGTCCGCTGTTTGGCAGGCACGTCCGTTGTTACAAAGAGAATAGACAAAAAGGGGCATAGGATTCCATACTTGTAAGTATATACGATGATTGAAACTACCTTCTTTTTTGTATCATGGTACCTACGATATTCTTTTTTCTTCCATTAGTGCGCTGTTGATTTCTATTTTAAAATATGCAACGTTAAGCTGGTAACACGTGTGACCTCAATTTTTCACAGTTACTCAACAAATTATAAACATAGCGACGGTATATTTAGTAAACTTGCAGACAGGTGGGGGAGGAATATATGTATTTATGTAATACATACTAGCACAAGCACTAAGCTGTAAAGTGCAGGAGATGCAAATTTAGGAACTTAGAACTTTTTTATTAAAATATAAATCAATCCAAGTCAAATTGACCAATGCGCCATGGGCCAGCAGCTAATAAAAAGTGGCGAAAATATGAAGCCATTGATCGATTTTAATGTGACTTCGTAAAGGGGGTTTTTATGATTTGGAAAATTCAAAATTGCAGATCCACTATGACAGATGACTTAAAAAAAGATAAAATTTTTATGAAACTGTCTGTAAGCAGGTTTATGGGGTAGCTGATTACAAATCTGTAGGATGGTTCCGTATGCAGAAGTGCAGCTTCTGACTGCCATTCACCTGGGAGTGGTCAAAAGTGTTTATTTTGCGTACGGTTCAAGTAGCAACTCACTTACGTCCAGATCTTTTTATCAACGTATCCTCTGGGTAGCGACCAAACACGCGTTTAGGAGCGCACTACAGTGATAAGGCCAGATTCAAACGCCGCCCAATGAAAAAGGAAAAAAAGCCACGGATGAGACCTTCTTATTTTGATAACGACCACGGCAAATGTATAAAGACTATAATTTGAAGGTATGCACTTGGAAGATCCGGACATCACCGCCATCCAAGAAATTCGATTGACGGGACAAGGCAAGGTGATCGTGTAGCCTTTCGACGAGTTCTACAGTTGTCACGTTAAGGAGCGGAAATTCGGTGTTCGAGTTGTGGGAGAGAGACTCCGTCGGCGAGTACTGGCGTTCACCGCGGTAGACGAACATCTATCTACAATCCGCATCAAGGCGAGATTCTTCAATATCTCGCTCGTCTGCGCCCATGCCCTTACGAAAGAGAAGGACGAGGCATCCAAGGATCTCAAAATTGTGCTTGGCGATTTCAATGCCAATGAGGGAAAGAAAGGGCTCTTTGGCGCCACGGTTGAAAAATTCAGCTCCACGACGAAATTTCCGACAACGGACTGAGGCTGATCGACTTCGCCGGGGCCCGAAACATGATACATACTACCATTGCTAGTTTCATGCATAAAAAGATCCATCAAGCCACTTGTCTGTCTCCAGATCGGAGAACGAGAAACCAAATCGACGGCACGCTTCCTGAGTTTTAGACGTACGTACACTCTGAGGACCAAACATCGACTTGCAGCACTATCTTGTTGCAGCCAAGATATGTACCCCCCTCTGTGCACCAAAAAAAATGTGCGCCCAACAATGCAATAACAACAGACGGCCAATTTATTCGCGACCTCTCAAGCAATAAAATGCTCGTATATTTATTTTTTATAAGCAACAGAAATAATTGCGGTGTTCACAGTTCATTCCAAATGGTGTCTCAAAATGTAGATGTCAACATTTTGCGACATTTTTAGCATCAAACTGTGATGCTAACTTTACTGGTGTTGCTAGACATTTCTTCTTTGCGTCCATTATATGTCACCTTTCGATATTGGTTAATTGCTAATATTTCTTCTTTACCTTGCTTTGTTTGTTTGCATTAGCCATTGCGCTCAAATGAAATGCAAATACGGAAAACGTCCCCATTAAAGAAATGTGTTTGGTGTTGTCATAATGCAACCCTGCTGTGAGGTTGAGTGTGACAAAATGTAGACAGCGTCGTTTTCCAATTTTGTATGGAAAACAACAACACCACAGATTTTATTGTTAGAAAATGTCGCAAAATGTAGACGTCTACATTTTGTGACACAATTTGGAACGAACTGTGAACATCCCAAGTGAAAAAATTTCTTGTGAGCACGATTTTAAGCTTTAATAAAATGTAAAAGATTTTACAATCTCGCAGCTCTGCTCTAAATAAATGAAAAATATGTACTACATACATATATATGTATGTATGTATGCACTGTTGTAGTTTGCTAAACTATTCTTTTCGCTTTCTTAATCACAATATTTTATAATAGTTTGTTTTTATGAAGTATTCTTCAATATTTTAGCCGTTTATTTTGAAAGTGACAGACGTCACTTGACACCTATTGTGCTTAAATGGCCGTCTACTTGTAACCGTATGCATCTGTAAATCGCTCTATCGTCATAAACTAACAACCTTTTGAACGAATGCCCGGTCATTTAAGCACAAGAGGTATGAAATGACTTATGTCATTTCCAAAATAAACGGGTCATTTCAGTACATACTTAGAGAATGCATTGCAAAGCACTTAGTCAACTAATTAATCTTAAAAGTCACCATAATTTATTGCGATTTCAAATAAATTTGGGGTAGTAAATGTGCACACATACGTACACACGTATTCATATGATAAAAGCTTTCCACATTAAACTGTTTTTTATTAAAGGATATTTAAAATTGACCAGTAATTTCATATAGGCAAAAACCATATGATTAATTGAAATTGGAGTTTAGAGATAATTTTATTATTTATTAGTGAGACTGAAGATATCTCTGTATATGCATAGAATTTATCAAACCAAATAGAAAAATATGCAATGCAGAGTTTCTACAAGGCAATGAAATTACGAAAAATGTGTGCCATTCAAAAAATGCCATGTGGAAACGAATTTATTGACAATTTTTCTAAATGAGGCGTATTCTTGTTTTCGTACTAATCGATAACACAGGGAAGCACTGATTTTGATGCAGCAAATGTTAAAGCTGTGATAGACTTGTTTGTGCTGATTACGAATCCATAAGTATAAAGTTTACATCAACTCCAGATTTTGAGAAAAAAAGTGTCGAACCATTGCGTTTTTTTGCAATATTTGAGAAGCTCTAACAAAACAAAAATAAAAGGCGGTAGAACCTTTCACTTAAGCCTAAAAGCTAGAACTCTCTTCTACTATCCCTGAAAACATTATCCTTGACCTGAAGGTCACTTATAGTCATTTATTGAACAATAAAAAAAAATACTGGAAAATTGTGTTATTGAAAAAAAAATGGACAAAAATCAGTTTTTGCTGTGCATAAATGAATGGTCGCCGCGAATAATGTTGTAAGCGACATAATTATAAGTTTGCAGGAATGGAAAAAAACATTTTTGATGACGCACATAAAGTCATTTGATTTAGTTTTCCAATTTTTCGTCGCAGCAGTCTCTAAGGAAACTTGTCCGTAAATTAAATTATATATATATATACATATATATATCTTTCAAGTCAAAAAAAGATTTACAAAATTTTATTGATGGAAAAACGTTTTATATCCAAACTTCAATGGATGATAACACGTTTTTCCAGTAAGCGTAGCATCTTTGCTGGTGGCGCTTACAACCTTTTTCGACAAATTAATGTAATAAATATAGCAATAAGAGGTCTTTTATTGCTCATCATAGGCCATTTTATAAAAATTGGAGAAATGCTTTTGAATAGTCTCCAATTTGAAGGTTGAGCATTGAATAAAACAAGCGCAGTTGAAAATCTGCTGAGTACAAAAACAAAATTGATATTAGCACAGCTCCTTCACTTACACCGTTTTTCCACACTACCGTTTCGGGTAATATTTTTTTAATACCGCTTTCCCATTTCTTCCTGAATATTCTTCCCCGCTATTTCTTAGCCTCTTATTTTTCATATCTTTCCAATTTCCGAAATTAACTTTACGTTTTTTGCCATTATTGCACTTTTCCAGTCACTACTGACTTTGGAGCGTAGGTTAATGTCCGAAAACTGATGAGAAATTGAGAAAATTGAGAAATTTCGCGACCTTATAATACGCGAGAGTATTTTTAACCGTAATCTGCGAAAAAACTAGTTTTGAGTAAATTGGCGCTTACAACGTTATTCGCGGCGACCATTCAAATGACTATAAGTGACCATAGAGTCAAGGTGCCGGAATGGTATCAGGGGTTGTAGTCGAAAGTTCAAGCCTTACTTAGGGTTTACACCGGACAATATTGTCAAGACAATTATGTCAAAATGATGTATTTGTTGTATACACGGCGAATTCATATTACAACAAACACATAATTTTGACATAATTGTCTTAACAATATTGTCCGGTGTAAACCCTAAGTTAGTTGAAGCCTAAATGTAAGGTTCTATCACCTTTTGATTAATAGCGATATGTACTTAAACTTGAATAAATGGCTTTAATACCGGGACAGACATCTGTTACTTCTTCATAACATTTCCAAAATACCATATGTCTGTCACCAAATATTATAATATTCTTAAGAATACTACGTGAGAAACCCAGTATTTTTTTTAAATAGAATACAACTTGCCGAAGGTTGTAATTTTGTGGTATTCTCATTGTGAATGGGCATTTCGCACTGAACATATCCAAAAAAGATAGATGTCAGCTGCTCATTTATCAAAAACCCATTGAAATTTTAGCGCGATTTAAGCCAAAAGTTTATACCGCAAGTTTTGATACAATTTATAAGCAATTTTCGCATTATTTTCGCATTTATATGTTTATGTGTTCCTCATCAGAAACGTATGATTTGACACTGAAATATTAAGTTAATGTCTGTTGCTATGGTAGCATTTTAAATACTACAATAAATTTACCAGAATGCAAATATCACCATCAGATAAATTTGCAAGGATGGTACTTTCAGGGATAGTAGTCGAGAGTTTTACCTTTAATTTAAGCCTAAAGCCCAAAATACAATAACGCAGTGGCAGTGGCAGCGGCAGTTTTTCGAAATCAGCTGTTTATTAGAAAGTGTGGTGTCCAATGAAGCCACTCACAATACAGCAGTGGCAGCTAGCAGTACTGCTCAATTTAGCCCAAATTCTAAATTCACTGCTACTGCCTTCATCGCAGCAAACTTCGCATGTTGAATTTGACATAAATGAAACGGAGCCAACATCTGTTGATGTCACTGAAGCCTAAAAGGCAACAACAAAAATGTAAACAAACAAAAGGGAATGTCAAAAAAAGCAGTCACTGACAACGCCGTATTCTGTTTGCTAATGGCAGTGACTGCCAATATTAGCAGTAACAGCTGATTTTAAAAACTGTCACTGCCACTGCCCCTGCGCTATTCTATTTTGGGGTTATGTATGTGGAAGGTTCTATCTCCTTCCATAAGCTTCTCAAATATTGCAAAAAACGCGATTTTTTTACACTTACACTCAATGTAATGGCATAGCCAAGGCGAATTCATATAAGGCGCTATTATTAGAACACCTGACACTGGTACAGTAGAATGTCAGCCAAGACGAAATGGAGTGTATTTTTTTGTGCAGTTTAGAATATAGCAGGTCTTCAAAACTAAATGACAAAAACTACATACCAGTTTTTTTCGTTTGGACATCCCAAAGTACCGAAAAGCAATAGCAAAATACATACGATTTTTATATACATATATGCACTAGCAACCACCTTATTAAAATTTAGATGTGCATGATTCCTTAGACGGTGCCCATGCCAAATTTCTCCGAATTTTACACAAAACACCTCCGATTTGTGAATTAATATTTTATTTTTACAGTTTGACAACTTCAGCTCACGAGCAAGTTTTTCGTGAGCATCCCCACCTTAGACCCATCCTAGTAGCCACGATTGCATGCACATTGATGACCATGCGCTTAAATAAAGTTTGATGTAGCGTTATCAGCAGTTTGCAGTGAATTTATTTAAAATAAAACACTCTAAACTCACATCTAATGCATTGAGTAAAACTTTATTTGAAAGTTAAATATGCAGACGCGTAAGTAGAAGAAGTTTAAATAAAAACTCGTTGTAGCTGCCATGATACAAAAAAGAAGGTAGTTTCAATAAACAACTTTTTGATTAAAAAGCAGATTTTTGACAATTGCTCAATTGTAAAAAATCGAAGCGGCGTTACCCAATTGTAAGTTTTTTGGTGTGGGAGATTTTATATCCTAAATTTGGGATTATAAAGAAAATAGTTGTATTCATATATACCTTTTAAGAATAATCAATATCTTGTCTTAAAAACGTTTAAATTTAACATAAAATTCGATACCAACTTGCCAAATCATTATTTTAATATTAATAGAATTTTAGTGAACATATTTTAAAATTTTTTTAGTGTCCTCATGTCATCTCATTATTTCACAATGTAGTTTTCTATATCGGATACGATGATTCTGATGTAATTCAGACACTGAAATTACACATTTCGTAATACAATATTGTCTTTGTCCATTTGACAGCAAATGGAATTTACTTTAGGACCCATGGGCCTAAAATTTTTCCAGCAACACATATTGTTTTCACATGAAATTTTAACACACCCAAAATTGAAGTATAAAATAAATAGATACAAATAAATTTTCAATCAAACTGATTTGTGTAGTCCAAGGGCGTCTTTAGTAAATGTTTGGAGGCTGTTTTAATATATCCTATCTTATTATATATTTCTTAGCTTTTCTACATTCTGAGAAGTTGAGAGAATGAAGTCAAATATTCTTTTTGGGTCAACTATGATGTTTGATTTCATTTTTTGCAATCATTAGTTCATTTCGCTTGAGGAGTCGCAATGCTCATACCGGCTGTACCGACTTTTTGGAAATTTCGGACACAAATTTTCCAAGAATGGTTATAGGCTAAAACAAACCCGATATCTAAAGGGCGTGTGGAACCTCCCATACAAATCGAATTTTTCATAGTGCATATCTCTGGAATTATTTGTGGTAGAGTC